GTTATTTGTTTATTATTTAGTAACCATAACGTTACTTTCATAATTATTAAAAACGAATCATGTTGAAACAAATATTAATCAAGGTTAAAGATTGGGGAAAACCCCCCAATACTTAGTGGTGTTTACTGCGCGTAAAAAAATTTGACTTTGTTGTGGTAGATACCTGAAAAGGAAAAATGACCCTAAAGCCATTGCCATGAATGCGTAAACACTGCGTGCCGCCCCACACGTCTATTTAGCGCCGTTAATATGCGCGCAGGATACACGGGACTATGTAATAAATGGTCGTTCCTCTCACCCTGTCTCACTCTCCACCGGTTAGGTATCCTTTAAGGAACGAGGCATCTTAAAGACTAATTGGTTATAATTAGCCAGCGGCAAGCCCGTGTGCGTATTGTGTTGCCACGCGGAGGGATGAATAGTTGGTCCTGCTCTTTAAATCGGAAGGAGGACGTTGGAGACGGAGGGTAAAATTCACAGATGTGCCGTTATTTACGATCGGGTCACCTAACCCTTGTAATGCCAACATAACGACTTGGCCGCTATGTATTATTACYGGTTATTATTATACACATAAGGCGACCGGCGGCGGAGGGCGGCACTTCTTAGTCGGCCCGGCGGGAGATTTATGTTGGTAGCAGGTCGTCTTAAGTGCACCGTGTTCCCCCCTGATTTGTCTCTACTATACATGTGGAATGTCATTGCCTCTCTTGTATCACACTTGGTGTGTAGTCGAGGGAAGGCCAGCAATTTTAGTACACTTGGAGTCTTGGACAACGAAGACGGTGTTAAATGATTTCTAATAACTCTTGTTATAACCTAGCTGTACAACAGCTAGTCCAAATGGCGAGTGCCAAGTTAATCGCTTGCAACCAGCAACAAATATCCCATAAATACTTACTTCATTGATGTATAACACATATATATTATCCGAGTCGAAATTCGACGGTTAACTATATGTATAAACTGTTAATACGATGACGAATGGTCATTTAATGCATCATGCGTGTATGATTTACCAAATTTTTGGTGATGATTATTAATTTTTCTTAACCCTGCATATACATTGTTAAATGGCTCAATATGGCTATAATATATAAACCAGACAAATTTTTTTTACGTTTCATTCATATAATTATAAATKACTTTTTAAGAACTTTAAATACCTATACATAATAATAACTCAAAAATAAAATATTAAATACATTTTTATTTTGAAATTTTGTTAAAAATCAGTCGACATAAGATTTTTAATGTAGGTACTATTATGGCCGTTTAAAATTAAAAAAAAAAAATCATGAATTGCATAATTTAATACAAATTAATGTTATAATCGGGTATTTCAACACATTAGAATGACTAATAATACATTAAAGTCATTGATTAAAGTTAAATTACATTATCGTTTATAATTTGTATCATTAAATAATGTGAGCATTTTAATCCAACGCCGTACGCGCCATTCTATGCTATAGATAGTATATTATTATATATTTAACTTTATAAAAGGTAATTTCAAAGTTGAAATAATTGCTAGGCGTGTAGGAGGAATTTAATGAAATTTACAATCCAACAGTAGTTTACACGAATTTTCTACTCCCTTTCTTAAGAAAACGAGGGTGCCTAATTATTCACAGTTATATCAGCTGCAAAATGCATATATTTCAGGATGTGAAGAGACCAACTTTCGCTCAGTCTGATTCCTTAATTACGGTACAGCCGGAAGCTCTATAGAGATTAAAACTGTTATGCACATGTTTAAAGTCGTATTTATGATCTACACTTTATTAAGCGAGTGGTAAGAAACGTGTAATACACACCAGACTYACGTAAAATGAATATAAAAAAAAACGCATWTGACAAAAATTAATATTAGCGTATAATTCACTTTAGAGTTTCCGTTTTGGATGCAATATTGAATTATTTGRATTATACCGGAACCCACTATATAGGTGACGATAAGTAACGGAATAAGGAGAACAGCTTAGGTGGCTTGGAGGCGAGGTACACCCTTGGAAGCTGCGGTTTCTTGGTCTGCCGGACTTGATAAAGGTTTTACGCCATAGTACGGTACAGCTGTACGGGTTTCCAGTGTAATCAGCATTTTGGTGACCACAAGCACCGTGGGTCCGCAACCTAACGGCTACCAGACCTCTCAAAAACGGTCTTTAATTACAAACGCGAGAACATATTAGGACGCGAAGAAGGGAGGGTGTTCGATACATTTTAGCCCATAAAGTTCGACCCATTCAAGTAGTTAGGGACCAACCCCAGCAATAGCAAAACAACAGGTTATCAAAATTAATTCTTTCGTCCATAATATTAAGAGTATRTAGCTAGGTGTCTCTCGTTTATCTGCAAATACATATAAATTGTGTTCTCTGCAAGATATTGATCATTAATTTTCATGCATAACAATCAACTCGATTGGTAAAATCAAATATTTTTTATGCGCTATAGTACTATACCTAATAATTTTCTAGGTCAACATTTTTTATAATTAGAAATAAGAAACATTAAGGGGCACATTATTATAAAGGCGCATAAAAATTTGATACTTTACTAATAATGTTTTATGATTTTTTAATTTTGAAATTGTTAACAATATTGCAGAATGCATAATAATTACAATATGTCTTAATATTGTCGTGTTAGAAGCGATTAGAATAATATTCTACTCTACAATGGACTCAGATAGAAACTCGTCACAGTGTTTAGAAAGAACGCACGTTTACACGTTCACTTTATAGTTAATGAACGATACGCGAACATTACTCATTTTTTTTTTCAAATTGAACGTGATATGATGCTGCCTACAATAGCAGACGAAATCCAAAGGTTTGCTCGGAAACACGAGACGAGGCTAGATCACTATGTCAATCCATTGGACATTCAATTATTAGGTAACTCCAAGGATATCCGACGTCTTAAGCGTCTGAAACCATACGACTTAGTTTAAGATTTTAGATTAAGGCAGGAGACACTTCATTATTGGAAGTGACTCCATCAACGTGTAATATATATATATATATTTTATGTCAAGTATGTAAAATATGTGTAATTGTCAAACATATTTGTAAAGACTTTTGGGTCGTTTAAATAATAAAGCCCCAGGGCATTTAAAAAAAAAAAAAAAAAATTGAACGTGAACGACTTTTATATGTTTAATGAATTTGAACGATTTTTAAGACGCTCAATTCATTAACTATTTAATAAATATATGTATATAATTTAAATACTTTAGAAAATGTAAATTGTGCTTTTATTTCTGGGTTGAGTCCAATATGTGTATGGGTTTTGATATTAACTGCTGATAAACTATTCATAGTAAAAAATGCAATTAATGCGTTCACTTTTTTCAAAGAACGTGAATGTGTTTCTTTGTTGATGATAGAATGTGAACGTGAACGGAATTTATTTTTTTAGTAAACGTTTCGAACACGCTGGTAATAATTATTGATGTAATCATTTAGGTAAATATTTGTTTCTCGAATGGTTAATATCATGTTTGTGTTTATAATATCATTATGTTTATTTTCCAAACTACGCCAATGAATATCAATTTGAGCGTACAGAATCTGATAAATTATTGACTCCGTAGGCGACACAATGATATAAAAAAAAACTCCCTTCTCTATTGGTCTGTATTGCAGTTTGGGTTTTATTGATATGCTTGGCCTTTGTCATTTGTTACGTTCCTTTTTTTTTATTTTGTTCTGGTTTCCGTTTTCCCATCACATCGTCCTCCAAAACTCTACAGCCGGTTAGATAAATCCGATTTTTATAGAGATTACAAAACATTTAACCTGTTTTTCTACGAGCAGACTTATTTCCCGGACAACGCCATAAATTTCACGGTCGGCTTCTCGCCCATTTGAAAGACGCGTATTGGGGCGCGGAATCCCGCGACAGATCCGTCCAATTCCGGTAGGGCGAAAAAATAAAATAAACGCTTCGGGTGAATTCACAAAATGAATGCAAACAGAGAAAGTTTAAAAATTATTAGAAAAATCACTCCGTCTCAAGACTTTTACAGTTATTCACAATTCACATAAAACAAATTATATAAACACGGGAAAAATGTTATAGAATTTTTCACAGAATAATTTCATTAGTATTATTAGAAGGAATTATTTTAAATTTACTATGAAATGTGCATAAATAGTTCATGCTAAAAAAATATAAGTTCATATTTTTTGATAGTCATACATATTTGACAATATATAGTCAATATAACAAAAATAAGAATTATTTTACAAACAATAATCTAGATTTCGATTCAAATGATCGTTATCAGTTTTAAAAAGTTTTAATCCAACAGTTTTCAATTTTCAATTTTTTTTTTTTTAAATGCATAAGAATGAAAATATTTTTTGGCCACTGTATACAATCGTTTTTATAATTTTATTACTATTCATTTAAATATTCAATTTTAAAATCCATCAACGCTATATTTAATTACCGACAAAATTTGTATTTTATATACTTTAAAACTTTACCACGAACTCAAAATTGAGGTATTCTAAGTCTTAAAAGTAAAAATTATATTAATATTTATAAACGATATGAGCTATCAGCTATCCCATACATATAATATATTCATTAAATTTTGGTCAATTTCAAATTTTAATAGAAAAATTTCGGATTTTCCATTTCCTACTTGTTGTTCATTTCATCAGTCTTTTTTTTTTAAATAGTCAATTAATCATGTTTCCCAATAAATTAAATCCCAGTTCACGGTAAAATCTAATATCTAATTATAAGTTCAAGAGAGACAAATGGTAGGCGTTTTTTTTTTTACTTCAAAACCGAAATCAGTATCTTCTTTATACTGTTTTTATATATACAGCCTTAAATGTGCCTCCAAACAGAATGTGAAAGTATAATCGACATTGGCCAATTTTTAAATTACTAAATTGGTTTTTTGGAACATTCATGATAACAATTTCAAAATATTACATGAGAGATTTTAGTTTTGCAATTTATTACTGTTATCTTACCAAATTCCCTTAAACTTTCCATATTGTGCTATCTTTGCTTCGATGTTGGGAGTATCGGGAACAGTGGCGGCGCTAGGCGTGGGCAGTGTGGGCCATTGCCCACGGCCTTGCATTTCAAAGGGCCTCGCGTTCTAAAGGGCTTTATAATTAACCATAGAGAAATATGGGAGAAGTATCTATACAAAAATGATTGTATCTAAAAAAAAAGGATCTCTTTGAGTTTACTTCGCCCACATATAAATTTTACCTCGCCCCGCCACTGATCGGGAAAATGAATATATGAAATTGTGGTTGAATTACTTAGTATGGAAAATTTAAATGCATTAGAGCTGAATACGTACATTAACTTTTAATTTTTTGTTTTTGACACATTTCCATAAGATAGTTTATTCGTAAATTTTACTTTCAAAACGGTTTGAAACCCACTTCACTCATGACCATAATATTTTTTCTCATTTATTTTTTATAAAATCTATAGGAAAATTATGTCTGAATTAAATATTTGATATTTATATAAAAATAAACAGTAGACTGCACAAACTAACACAATCAACTGAAATATATTTACAGGAAAAGTACAGTTGGATTTCAGATGAACGACACGCGATAATTGATTATTGCATTATAATCCTACATTATGAGACTTATTTTTGTACATATTTAGTACCTACGACCTATCTATATGTCTTTATCGAGACAAAAGAGTCTGTGACTTAGGTCAAGTACCTAAAGTACCTAAGTAGGTACTAAATACTGGTTTAGTAACCAGTCATACCTACAAATAATTTATGACGTGGCCAATAAAATGAAACTACTAATCGCATACGAAAAATTCATATCATCGTCCACTATCGATGCAATTGGCGTAACCCTTTTCAACTAAGTTTCAACCTTAGGTCCTTAAACCATAAACAAGACGCATATAATTTTATTTCTTGGTTATTATTACTCACAAYAGTGTGCTGCTATCTAGATGGAAAATACTGCGAAACGTAAAACCACTTTAATGTGCATAGATGTCGCTACAAGTTTCATTATAAAAAAAATCAATATTTTTGTTTTCTACCAAATATTTTTTTCCCACTAGATAGCACACTGTACAATATTATTTTTTCTTAAATACTAGATGGAAGCATATAATATGTTACAAGCATTTATTTTATTTCGTTCACATACCTGTTTGTTAACTGGAGGCAGTATTAGTTTTCTTCGCTTCGTCCAGGGTGCATCTGGAGGTTTAGCAGCAGGACGTTTAGATGGTGGTAAACTGGACGGCAGTTCTAAGATATGTCTAATGGTATGCTTGGACTTCGGTTTTATCATGATTGTGTTGAACTCAAAACACTCTTTTGCAGTCTGAAAATAAGTAGGTATATCAAAATATAGGATCAGTCAGCCAGGATTTATTATTTTAATGTTATATATATATATATATATATATACACCTTGGTACCTACGTAAGTTTTAATTCATAAAACTTTAATTACCTATGTATTTTTTAGATAATCGAAGTTTTAGTTAGTGACTAACTTCAGCTTGTTATAATACCAATATAAATGATTTCGAATACAAGAAATTAGTATAGTATATAATTATAGGTACTATCACTAAAAAATGTAAGGTATATTATATTGTGTTTAAATAGATGAAAACCATTTGAATAACTGAGAAAAGTCTTCTATGAATATGTTACGACTGAAGATGAAATTTAGTTTTAATAATACAATTTAATCTATACCTTCCTAAATATTAATCTTAACGAATTTAATTTGAAATATTTATAATGATTTCGTCACTATAAAGTGGTGAAGCAGAAACCAAATTATAATAAATCAAACCTTGCGTTACGTTGCTCAACGACCAGTGCAGTAGCGCACAAACCGTTTGTCCTGAAATCATTCCCCAAGAGATTTAGAACTCAGTCATACTCTGTACTCGTCCGACTGACACCACATATTTGTTTACAACGATCGCGGTTAATCGCACAGATGGAAGAGGAAAGTGTTTCAATAGAGAGTTAATCGAATTGTATTTAATAGCAGTATGGCGTGCAAGATGTATTATGGTATGATTCGAGCCATACATAATATCACAAAAATAAAAAGTAATATGAGATGACCATCGCGATAGTCATATTATTTTGGATGTGACAAAAATACAAAACCTGACAATAAAAGAAATATATTTTGTTCTACTAAACATTTTTCAATTTTTTTTTTTTTTTTGTCATTTGCAGACGCTTATTGTACTGTACGTATAGTATAAAATGTTTATTCTTATATTTATATTTATATACTGAAAATAAACATTTAAAAATTGGTAAACGTTGAAAAATTCAAAACAGTCAATTTGTAAATCTGGTTTTTAGAAAGCTTTTTATTATAAAAACATTCATCTTTAAGTCAGCTGATTTATTTTAAAATGTCACAATTTTTTTAAGTAAAACTTATTCATTTGAAAAGTTAAAATTTAAAAAAAAATTATAAATTATCTATTTAAAAAATATTTAGATTTTAACTAGTAAACTATCTAAGAATTCTCATAAAATATTTTTTTAACTTATTATTGAATTAAAATTTTTTTATGGCTAGATCAACTTAACTTCACAAAAATAATGTAATTAAAAAAAAAAACAACATGAATTCAATAAATGTTTATTAGCACATTTTTGATTGAAAAACATTTATTGAATTCATGTTTTTTTTTCATCAGATCAGATTTACAAATTGGAATTTTCCAAAAAATGATACGAATGTTAAAAAAAAAAAATATTATTTTACATTAATTACAACAAAAGTTATTACATTTGTCAGGTCTTTCTTAACACACTGCATAGATATATACATCTTACAACAGGTGGTGGTGGCGGTGGTGCCCAATGTTTCTGTAAACTTTGTATGACTTTATTTGTTACTTTTGTATTACCCCCATCATCTTAGAGCTACAGTCAAACAAATACAAGTTTCTTACATTTAAACAATCCGAAATATATTTACAGAACATTAAGCTTGTCTCATGTTATGAAACAAATTTGTTTTGAATTATACCTAATAAATTATAATTACTAATAGAAGTAATTGCAATACAATAAATATATAATAATTTTGAAAACTAAACAATTTAAATGTCATAGAAATTAATTGACAATATAATAATTTATCAATATATGAATTCTACATATATTCGGTTGGTTATATTATATTTTTCGGTAGTAGCATTTAACAACGCATTAACCTGCTTCTTTTAATACATTCAACATTTTTATTATATCATATGAATGACAATAAAACGGTACGTGTAAGCAATGTAAATATAAATATTAAATAGCTTTCAAAAAATTTAATGATTTAATGTWTAACTATTACAAAATGTAACGATGACATTCATCGAATAGGTAGCAGGATAGGGGTAGGTACATGAAAAAATGTGAATTGTATAAATTGTTATTTTGTATACATGGTACATTATTCAAGACAAATTAAAAGGTATTTTTTTTTTTTAAGAATTAGAGAATATTATATTGAAATAATTGACAGTTAGGATTTTAATTACTGTCAATTTTGTTTATAAATGATCGCTATTTATTTATTTACTCATAGGTTTGGATTAATTGGGTCAGCTAAAGGTTATTAAGTATAGGTTTTGACTTGCGTATTCTTCTATTTTAGGTGTATTATTTACCCATGCTTACCTATATTTTTGTTTAATAATATATATACCTGCTTTAAAATTATAGAAAAGGGTAGACAGCTATATTAATTAATAGTTATACTGTATTTGTTTCGTTTTTTAGTAGATTCGTAATTGTTTATATGTTGTAGAGCTCATAAGTAGATATCCACGGGTTGATAAAAGTTGTGTGTAAGAAGTAAGTAAATTTAAATTTAATTTGTAGATACAACAGGCTATTGATATAGTATACCTACCAAAATCAACTTATAATATACGTACACGAAAAGTCTAAAATTAATTTTCTCATTAAAATATAACAATTATTGTTAATGATTAAAAATAGGTACATGTCTGTACGTTTATTGATTTTTTAGACTTAATCTAAATATTATTAGTCTTGTAGAACCTTTTTTTACGTCCTTGTAAAATTATTTTGTAAGTTAAATTAAATTATTATGTCTGTTATTGGTTAGAAATGTGATTAAAAATAGTCGAACCAGAATAAAAAGATAATATTAGGTAATAACTACTAACTTCATGATTATTTAGAGGATTTTAAATTATCAAATATAGGTATTCGATGAAAATGCAATAATAGTAAGATGTTCCTATCTTGAGATCATAATGTTTGATTTTATTCTCCTTTAAGAAGGGTGAAATTTAAAGCAAAATATTTAATTATATATTATATATATGATTAATTTTGTTTTTGGTGTAAGTAAATAAAAATCTTTGTACTTCATCATTATTTATTGTATTTAAATATTAAAGACTTAATTATTTTATTTACAATATGTACTGCACTATCATACATGAATGACAATAAATAACCGTAATATTCTTATTGAATTGACTTATCCCTATTGGCTTACGTATTATTAGAAATGTTGATATATATATTTAAATTTCAGAAAAGTGTAAAATGTTTTTGTAATAGATATAAATTGCATTTATATTAAAATATTTAACTATAATAATGATGATGGATTTTATTTACACAGGATATGTACCAAAACAAAATCAATACAAAATTTTATTATAGTTCAATAATTAAAGGTAAGTAGGTACCTAAAATACCTAATAACAAATAAGTTTAATATTTTACTTTAGAAAATGATCGAAGTAGCTCTAACAATATAATTCACTAATTTAATTTAACAATGGTATTGGTGTGTTTAGTTGACTTCATCAACCGCACACTATGAATTCGGAGAATTTGTTCAACGGTGGACCAGTAGCTCTCAACTTATCGACGTACAAGCAGCTAGGCTATTATCAACTGTTAGACCCGAAGGGACCACATATATACGGATACCATCTTTACAGAACAATGCTGAAAATATTTCTCTTGATTGTTCAATTTATTACGATTTTTGGAGTGATGGGTTTCTTTATTGAGATAGAAGATGCCAATACCGACCCTGGTAAATCGAATTCTTTCGAATTAATTATTATTCTGACTAATTGTTCACTATCGTCGTTGAAAATGTATACACTCGTTTCGAATTATAAATTAATTTGGGATTTATTCAACCTCACGCGTATAGACTTTTTGAGATGTTCTAGACATAGTAAACTTATCACGGCAGACTTTGCGAGACGTTGTACAAAATCAACTACGATCACAAAGTGGATCGCTCGTTCTTTTATCGCAGGACTAATTTTATGGGTGATGGGACCGTTCATCGCTAATGAAGAAAACACTGTACCCAACGCTGATCGTCGACATCAAAATATAATCAACATAAAGTTTCCAGTGACTGTGAAGACCTATAACAATTACTACTTTGTATTTTATTTGATGGAAGTGGCTATAGGCTTTTGTATCGTTTATGGGTCAGTTTTAATAGACGCTTTCCTTATGTCATTTTGTTGGATTATTTCGGCACAATATCAATCGGTCGCCAAAGCATTTGCAACATTTGGATACGATGAAAAGGGATCACCAAAAGGTGAGATAATTATTATTTCTTTTGAGTATAGAAAAAAAAATTGTTGTGATTTTTTTATTTTAGAAATTTATAAAAWTTTCAAATCAATTATAATTGACCATCAAAATGTTTATTTGTAAGTACCGTTTTCAGTATAGGTATATTTTAATTTGTTTTGAACTTAAATGTAAGATATTACGTGCAAATTAAAAATGTGTTTAGTCTTCTATCTAAGCAGTAACCACACATAATATTATACTTTTCAGATAGTGCATTCTTCGTAATAAATAATGTACCTATGCATATTTGATAAAAAGTACTAATAGGTACTCAATTTAAAATTAAAATGGTCATAAGCAATATTTTTTACGTGTAATTGCAGTTAAAAGACTTGTTTGTGTTGATAAATATTATAATAACATTGTTACTTTTTAGAAAAATGAAATCATTCTATGCTGTCGTGCGACCCATAACTCTCATTCATGTTTTTGCTTATTCGTGTTCATTAATTATGTATTCATATGTCATTGTAACGGTAATATAAACAAATATTATAAATATATGTATTTATAATAAACTTTTTTATATAGAATTTATAGAATTTTTGAAAATTAGATAAAATTTTCTATATATAATTTATGTGTATACTACAGATCTTACATTCAATGGAATCGTTCAAAATTGCTGAAATAATGAAAATAGTAATGACGGTATCAAATGTCACGATTGAAGTGTTTATCTTTTGTTATTTATTCGAACTTATCGACAACAAAGTAAGCGAGTGTTCAAATAAAACGACATTGTAAATGGTCTGTTATTATTACGGTATTTGTTTCTGGTAGAAGGAAGATGTGAACTTTGGATTATACAGCTGTAATTGGACTGGGATGGACATAAAGTTTAAACAACTCTTGTTAATGTCAATGAAAATGAACAATGCTAATCGATTAAAGTTAAAAGCAACGCCAGACGTAACTATCAATCGCCCATTTTTCTCAAACGTATGAATAAAACAGTATTATATATTTATATTCTAGTTACTTATTCCTATATAATTAATAATGTGATGATAATAAATCTTGTTTAGGTGATCCACACTTGTTTCAAAATAGTTTCAGTTTTAATCCAAACTCAATCCATCGACTTATTAAACTAAATAAAAAATAATAACAATTAGTTATGGACTAATAGCATCAGAATTCATAATAACAGATATAAATTGTGTTAAACTKACTTCAATATATATATGTATAGAAAATAATTTTAGTATATATATTTAGTAATTTAGTATATATATAATATATTATGTAATGGAACTATAAGTAAGTATACTAATTATACTACCTATATTCGAATATAGTACCTACATGCAATATTATACAAACATTTTTGAAGGTATATTGTGTCCTAATTACAATATTGTTTATAAAAACAAAAATGTTAATTTACAATAATTATTTGCACGAATGCGCTATAGTTCTATTTATTTCCTAATTAATACTAATTATGCAATAAATCGACACATTTTTACATTAAACTAAATACGAAGTTGTTTCTTGTTTTAAAAACTACACGATGTTTTACAAGATTTAGATAAATATGAAACTTTTTGTCCATGTTAAATATATTTAATATACATACCTACGTACAAACAATTTATAACTAAAAATGTAACCAAAAAAAATTTTTCTTTTACTAATGGCCTAGTTGTCGATGTATTTTGATCAATAAAATAAAAAAATAAAAAATATTTATTGTGTGTCATCTGCTTTTAATATTAAATACCTAAACTTACTTACTTTTTTAATAAATTATATATTTTCTATATTTTTAGTTAAGTTAATATAATGATTATCTCTAAAAGATTGTAGATTGAAGGTCAAAGAAAACACATAATTTTGGTGAATAAAAGCCAAAAAATTTTGGCCCGTTAAAAGGTTTTCATAAAAATGTTATTTTTTCTTTCATTATGTATAATAATGTCTTCTTTACTTCTATAGAATGTGTTAAGAGCCGAAAATAAATTTAAGGCATACCTAATAATGTGACTCAACATTATATTAATGTACTCTATCAATGTATTATTTTATTTAATTATTCATAGGTTCATCTAAAACTGTGGCATGATTGAATTTAAAATTGATGTAAGTTGTAACACCTATTATAATATAATTTTATATAATCTTATAAGATCGTGTAAGTTGACAACAATAGAAGACCCTAAGAACGGTCCTTATTGTCATACTCTTTAATTATTTAAACGATTTAGTGCGTTCAATCATACAACGCTGTCAAATATATAAATTACTAATACAATTTATATATTTTTTAAATTGTTGTGTATAATATTAATATGAATTTTTTTACCAAATCGCATAAATTAAGAAAAATTTATTTTTTCATCCGTAAAATGACGGCTGTTATCAATTAACGAAATTAAAAATATAAAAGTTTTTATTTGAACTTTAAAATTTATCATTGATATCTGGCAACACTGCACAGAATTTTGAACTCAAAATGTATGTGTTTTTTAGTCAACGGTTCATTGTTTTATTTCAAGTGTGCTCAATCATATGATAACCAAACCGACACTTACAAATTACCTACCCAAAAATACACCGCAATCCCGAGCCAATAATTATACTGCAGGTATTTGCATTAATTGCATTCCGTATCAACTGTAGTAAATAGCTAGAGATTTCTTTTTGACTTCAGAATATGAGTATCGATAATAACGCGCCCTCTATTTGAAATGTGTACACATTAAAGTCAAAACTCTTCAAAGGATTTTTTTTTCAAAGAAAGGAACTTTATATAAAAAAAAACCTTTTTTTTCATGTTTTCGAGAACCAGAGAGGGGACTGCTGTTAGCATTGCTTCCCCCCTATATAAAAAAAACCTAATAACAGCGTTCATATTATATCCTTCATATCAGTTAATTATTTACTTTGATTTTTGAATAATAATGTCATGTAGTAAAAACTACGGTGTAGAAAATACCTATACTTATGAAAATTTAAAATTTATTTTTCTTACCATTTTATTTCCAATGAAAAATTCTATCTTGTTSTTGGTGTAAATAAAGACTGAACATTATTTGCTGTTGCTTCTGCAAAAAAAAAAAAAACAACAACAACAACTAATTAAAACTACAATTCAAAAAACATTGATAAATTGAACCAAATATGTTAGTGAGACTAAAGAGTAGCAGACTGTTGAAATAATAGTTATTTTAAACTAATAGAGAACCATTAGAGGAGAAGTTTAAAGTTGGGTATAAACGAGAAAAAATAACACTACTGAACAATTATTAAATAAAACATTACTTAACAAAATATAATTAGGTACTTATCTGGTATTATATATTTTGATATATCTACACTAATGATGTTTGCTAACTTAAAGGAGTTATTTTTTTTTTTAAATAGAGAATATAAAAATACCTAATTATTTCGCAAATCTCCACCCAATTAAAAACATAATATCTAATCAACAAAAATAACAACTAGGGATACATTATAAGACCCGAAAATACATTATATTTATCAAAAAAAATAATTAARTACTGGAAATAGCAAAAGCATATCAGCCAATTATGCTTTTGACCTTTAAAATCAACATTGAATAATCCATTTTTATACCCAACTACATAACTGCCATTTTACTCTATAATTATACTTTATATTTTCTTGACAACTAATAAATCCGTTAAGAATAAAAAGTTACATTTAAACTATTTTTAAACAAAATAAGTAAAATAATTGATAAAAATCATTTAATTTTGTCACTATTTTTAGTATAATATTTTATAGGAGAACATATATGATAATTTATTTTTGGGGGGTTGTTCATTAACTAAAAAGTTGATAAGATTAACTCTTATTATTCTGTAATAATAAACCTATTATACTTAATATAAATGCATTAAATATTTAAATACAACCTATACTTAACTGAATAAAAAGCAAAGATAAAATTAATTGTAATTTAAAAATCACCGAGAACTCGCTCTGCTCTTTGTAATAGGTTTCAACTTTCACAAGAGTCCCTCATTGTTGAGTATAGGCCATTGCAGTATAATGGATGTGTTAAAGTTTAATTCATTGGTTAATCGCAGTAAATGAAAAAAAWTTTTTTGTGCAAAGGAAATGGCTGGATCGGAATCCATTTATAAGGGCAGATTATGTCATATTATATTTACAATTACATTAATGACTAATTAATACCGATTACAGTTGTTTAGAACTTAATATAATCTACTATATTGAGTATATAGACATACAGTTAATAGTTACTGAATTCAGTATATTGAAGAATTAATTTTTCAAAAACTAACGCAGTAATATAATACTGCGGAAATTTAGTATTCTACTGCAGTTGCAGCATGTCACATCSGAAAAGTTGTAATTTGTAATTTGTAATTGGGTATTTGGGTTTTTTTTGTTGTTGATTGCTTAAAATTAGTGAATGCGTCTAAATCGTCAATATTATATTAAAAGAAAACGCAGTGTAGCTATGCCCTTAACCTATGACGGCCGCTATGTTAAGAAATAATCGTATTTTTTTTCGATTAGAGTTTCGCTCTTATCCAAATCGTGATGTCAGATCCAAATAAAAAAAACCCAATTATAAAATATATTATTCTATTAATATTATAAAATTTAAAATATTTTTAAATCACACAGTTTTTACATCATTCAACTTTCTATACTTCAATAATAATATGAAAAATAAGCAAAATATTATGTAAAGGTAGTCTATACTCATTAAATATTTTAAATACTTCCTAATCAAAAAAAAATTGCRTAATATTATTGGGTTCATATTCATTGGCAGTATAACTGTATAAGCTTTTTCGGAATTTAAACACATAGAAGTCGACGATCGATTTAAGAGCTTTTGCAGAATGGAGAAAAAAACATTTGACTTAATGGTTGTATAAGCTGGACATAACGTTCAAAAAAAGGTTAGGTACCAATTATTATAAACATTAATTTATTGTGTTTTCGAAAATGCATGCTTATTACTCTCAGCMCTTAGATATATACTTAAACTTAATAGTGAATATWAATATTAATTTAATTTAATTTAAATTTAAGTCCAAAGCGTGTTTTCATGTTGGTTACAATCCATTACTTGGACGATACACGTTTCGAAATGTTAATTAATATGAACAAAATTAATTTAACCTTTGAAGATTAAGGAAAATATGTTTATAATTTTTTTTGTTTAAAAATGACTTCATTTAAGGTGTATTAATAAGTTTTATTTTTATTCTGACGCGACTACTATTATAATGAAACCGTTATAGGTAGTTAATCTATACACAAACTTTGTGCGAACAAATTAGTATTTATTTTTCTATTTATTATTAAACGAAAACAATTGGTTGCTACTTTTATTGATATTTATTTAATCAACAAATAATAATAAATTTTAACTCATTTAACAATAGCTGTATTTTAACGAGGTAGTGTTATAGCATCATAGGTATAAATTAATTAATAATCTCGAAGGGTTAACTCGATAATCACAATGTATTTTAATTATTTTTTAATGACGCTTACGTGAATTAAATGGAGCTTAGTGAAATACAATAAATTCACTTGAATTTAGCACAAAATTACATAGTAGCTATTAAATAAATATAAAAATGCATCTGCCTAGTAAAAAAATATAAAAACCACCAGAAACAGTTCCTTTACTTCGAGATAAAACGTGTGTATATACGACGGATTTATGATAAAAAAAGGTCGAAAGAAGGTCGAAAGAAGTTCATCATTGAGAGCTGCTTTGGAGAGATGAATTGCCGTTGGCTTGCAATGGATCGGATGGATGGCTGCAGGATGGACGATAGTGGGTAGGCTGACATTCACTTAAGACAGGGCGATGCTGTGATCATCGGAAAGAAGCATTTGTGTGTTTGGGGGTTAGAGGTGGTACGTGCGAGATACAACAGTGTATAGTATATAGTGCGGACAAAGATTTATTCGAAATTTATGCCACACAACAAGCCGCCAGGGAGTCTGATGGCTCTTCATCGTATCTTTTAAATCGTACGGTCTTGTGAAAATTGCAGGGCCTCTTGCTGTGCACTTATCCATGCATCCTCAGTGTTATACATGTGGTTTAAATAAATTATTTGTTCGCCTTATTGTTATTAGTATTGTTCGTGTTTTAGATGAAGCTGTTGTTGTCATAACAGTTGTATTATAATTTCCAGCATGAATATACGTTTTCAGAACTTATTTTTATAGAATTCAAGATACCAAAAAAATAATATAAATACAACAATTTATTTTTTTWTAATACACAGTTTATTTTAAAATTGGAAAAAATGAAAATCTATAGATCATTTGTAAAAAAAAAATAACTGTTTTTTAATTGTAAGGGGTGTGTTACATGTCGACTTTGTGTAGAAAAATAAACTAGGTAATTAGAATTTAAACTTCAACAATAACCAATGGATCTATGATAATGTAATTATTCTTTGGTAAGTAATAGTTAGTATTTCATTTTTTTTTATTCACCGTTTGAAAGGCTCTGGTAGTTGTGTAAGCGTATGGACGCTAACGATGATTTTGCTCGTATGATTCGTTAGGAGAAATCGAAATTCCTCTTTAAATCGAAAAAAAAAATTGATTATAAATCATAAAATAATTAAATTTCTGTTTTGCAGTTATATAAAAATCATAAAATTATTATACCTATGTCCTATTGTATTACCCATATTGGCCATATTATATAGTTGAAATCAAATAAAACCAATATTGATAAGCGAAATTGAAATTATAAACCATCATTCACATCTTCAAAAAAATAAATTATACAATATTCTATTATCTATACTTACACAAAATAAATAAGGTTTTAATAATAATAAAAAAAACAATTATTTATGTTTCACAACCTATTTGGTATTTTAGTTGTGAATTTCAATTTTTCAATTTGTAGATAAATTCATTCAAATATAACTGCACGGTTACAAAACAAAAATATTTTAATGAACTCGGRTGATGAAAAAATTAATTCCTTCAAGCAATTTTTAAAATTTAAAGAAAAACGAGAATATAAATAACTAAATCAATGCGCTAACCTAAAAAGTMSAGTCTCTGTTCGATCATTTTAACAAAGTTATAAATATAAAATCGTACCTGACACATCAAAGAACTCAGTGAAACACAATATTACTGTATTATTAACCAGTCATAACTTATTTATATTCATAATTGTATAACAAACGTATTTCAAGCTTAAACAATTATTTAATCAAATTATTACGACTGCTTTATAAAATGTTGGACTATGCTAAACATCTATCTAATCAAATTTAAAACGACATACCTAATAATAATTGTATTTATTTTATTAAATATCTTGAATAAACCATAAAATAATATGTACCTAACATTACAATTTAATATAAACATAAAGCTTACATAGATTTCAACACAGCATAAAGTATTTTTAATTTATTTGAAGTACTTTAAAAACACTTAAAAAATAAACACTCATTATTTAAAAAATTAAATTCTGAAATATATAGGCACTATAATGCACTAAACATGCAATATATAATGTAATAATAAAAATAAATATTTTGTTTGAATATTCAGTTGTTTTAATTTAATTTAGGTTAATAATGTAGACTTCATAAATCTTAATTTTATAGTACATCACCTTGCAGTATTTGCATAAATAACGGTCATTGTAGGCTTGGTTATTAGCCGCTGGGCCGCAATATTGCTGCTGGGATCCCTCCATTTTTGTCAGGATTTTATAATTATTTTATTCGGTTCTTGTGCCTGGTCTATCTTGAGAGTAGGGTCTCTATAAAGTATTTATGGAAATATTAAATCGTACGTAATTTGTAAGCCACTTTTTCTTTATAGAGCCGACCCAGTTTCATTCTCAGAATTGTTGGGTCTTTGACACTCTTTGTATTTCGTTATGGGGCCCCTTAAAGAAACTGACCTACACCTATGGGCCTTTGGTGTGTCAAACTGACATTTAGGGCTGTATATCAATTTAATTAAAGACTTTAAGACTATTATAGATTTATATGTAATATTTTATATATTAATTTATTTGTTTGAGGTTTACCAGTAAAA